TTCTTCTTTTGTCATTCTTATTCATTGTCTAGCTCTCAGATGCATAGCATGTGATTGGAAACACCATGGCCTGAATTATATCTACCTTAGCCTTCAAACTGACATCATTGGCTCTCAATAATTTGGAGATATACTTCCCTATAGACTTTTCAAGTGCAATACATCTCCTGATCTCCCGACTGCTGGTATTAAGTGTATTGATTGTAGATCCAAGTAAGATGAAATCATTGGCAGTTTAAGTCTTTTCTCCATGTTTCATGACATTGCATATTGGACCCGTGAGGAGAATCTTTATTTTCTTTACAATGAGAAACAATCCATATAGGAGACAGTCTTTAATCCTCTAAAGTAAGAAGACTAAAATTACCTATAGATGAGAAAATTAACAACTGTAATGCCTTTAAATATAAAGGCATATCACCACTTCATTTCCAACATAATCTAGCTTATTTACTTCCCTATATAAAATGCGTAAGTATCTAATGGAACATCTGATCTAGGACACTGTACTGAGTAACAAAGGGAACAAAGCAGACAAAGTAAGAGACAATACAATGCTGACCAAGGACATCGAAAAATGATGCTCTATCTTGTGAGACAGACTGAGGATCTATTTGAGATTTATCTTCAAGGATTCTTCTGAGGAAATAAAGCAGATGTCTGTATTTACGTGTTCTTCTCACATTAGGAACTGTGGTGGCATAGTTAGTTCATAGCTTGTTACACTGCTAAGCAGAAGTGTGAATCTCCAGCAGTGTGAATCTACCAGTGAGTAGCTCCTCAGGAGAAAGATGGACAGTACCTTCCCATTAAGATATATTGTCTTTGAAACATTATGGAAGATTGCTATGAGTAAGAATCGCATCAAGGAAGTGAATGTCCGCCCACGTTGGTTAATTATTTGCTCCATGAGCAGTTACTCTTCACACCTTCGGGTTGCCTGTTCTAGTGTTCTGACTGAGTAACACAAACCTTAACGTTGTTTTTCTCTGGAATCTGTAGAGAAACCAAATAGACTTTAACTGATGACTATTGTTGTTGTTGTTATGTGCCGTCGAGTCCCCTGCGACTCATAGCGACCCTATGTACAACAGCCCTAAACTCCGCTCTGTCC